CCGCTGTGTCTACGGTTTCTCCAAACGGTTGACGATAGATTCATGCAAATTTAAAGTCTGGTGAGACGTCGCGAAGACTCAGTATTCGTTGGATAGTTTTCTCGCCATGTCGTTGACACTCACGCTAACGGGAAAGAGCACCGTGCTCGCGGTAAACTACTTCCCAGCGATAGATTTGAGTGACGGTGACTACGAGCTCGGTTTGATGAATTTTGAAACTTATAATACGATATCGAACGTGAATTCTTCGAATAATAAATTTTACTTTGACGATACGGAAATTACAATTCCCGAAGGATCCTACGAACTGCAAGCGATAAATGAGTTTTTGAGAAATGCAATTTCACGAAAACGTCCACGCCAACGTCTCATGGCTGGTACTAATAACAGCGATAAAAAATGCGGTGATGTTCAGACAAACGATATCGACGAAAATGAAGAATATCCGATAGTGCTGCGCGCTAATCACAATACGATGAAGAGTGAAATTATAAGCGCCTTCAGAATAAACTTTAACAAGCCTAACAGCATTGGATCGCTTCTGGGATTCTCATCGACGCGTATATTGCAACCGCGAAAATGGCACGAATCGGACCTACCGATTAACATTATCAACGTGAATATTATCCGCGTAGAGTGCAATGTGACCGCGGGTGCGTACAGCAACAACAAGCCCGTGCACACGATACACGAGTTTTCGCCGAGCGTGCCGCCGGGATATAAGATGTCGATAGCGCCATCGCAAATCATTTATCTGCCGATCATCACACGGAGTATTACGGATCTAACCATACGCGTTGTCGACCAGAACGGACGATTGCTCGACTTTCGTGGAGAAGAGATTACCGTTAGATTGCACGTACGACGCTGTAAGCGATAACGTGCGCGCGCGTCAGTGTATATGCTATGCTCGTATTGAACGCAAATCGGAGCAAATTGTGAGAAATAACGCAATTTTGAAGAAGCCAACGATATCAACGTTTAATCGTAGTATCAAGTCATCCAGGAGCTGCAAGAAGAAAAAGCTCAATACATCAAACGTGGAATTTTTAAAATCATTGGGATACGCGGTGCGAAACATTTGAATAATGACTGACATCCTCAAAATCGGGAAGGAGCCAATCTTTGACGATCGCATCGTCAAGATTGAGACTCACACATACAATCCATTCGCCAACACAACATTTGGATACAGCGATGAGATACGAATACCTATACAACAACAGGATCTCTATACGTTGCCACATGAAAGTTTTCTGTATATCGAGGGAAAACTAACTACAGCCAACAAATCGAAGGATCTGATGTAATACTGGGAAATAATTGCGTCGCGTTCATGTTCGATGAGATTCGATATGAACTTGACGGTGTGGAGATTGATCGTACCAGAAATGTCGGAATAACCAGCACGCTCAAGACCTATGTCTCGACATCATTCGATAAAATGGTATCTCTGAAGAATGCCGGCTGGGATGTGTCGAACAATGGGAAGGGAGATTTCAATTTTTGCGTACCGCTCAGCATGCTATTGGGATTCTATGAAGATTACAAACGCGTGGTGATTAACGCTCGACACGAATTGATTTTAATGCGATCGCTCAACGACAACAATTGTCTGTTTGGAGCTATAGCACTGGAGCCGCAGCTTGAAATATTCAAGATACAATGGCGAATGCCGCATGTGCTGTTAAACGAGGTGAACAAGCTATCGATGCTGCGTGCTTTGGAAAGCGGACAATACCTTAACATGGGTTTTCGTTCATGGGATCTCTATGAGTTTCCACTATTGCAGCGGACGACTAAGCATTCGTGGGCTATTAAAACGGCTACTCAGCTCGAGAAGCCGCGGCATGTTATTTTCGCTCTGCAAACAAATCGAAAGAATATCATGTCTGAGAATGTGAGTCAATTCAATCACTGCAAATTGAGCAACGTAAAACTCTATCTGAACTCGGAATGTTATCCATATGACGATATGAATCTGGATTTCGATAAAAGCATATGGTCGAGTCTGTATGATGCGTTTTCACGATTCCGGAAGAGCTATTAGGGAAACGATGATCTTGCATCAGGTCTCACTGTCGACAATTTTCTAGAATATGGCCCGTTTGTGGCCATCGATTGTTCTCGACAAAACGAATCGGTCAAGAGCGCGACTGTGGACGTGAGATTGGAATTTGAGTGTAAAGAGAATGTACATGCGAATACCACTGCGTAGTGCCTCATTATACACGATCGAGTGGTTCAGGACAACCCGCTAACCAATGTCGTGCGCAAAATCACCTAAGTATGACAGTTTGAAAGAAAACTAGTTTCCCCCCCCTTTCCAATACCGTTTAGAGGGGATGAAAGAATTTAAAATCTGCTGAGCATCAAGACCAACCGTAATATTTCTCCTTCTCTCGACGTGTTCGAACAAGTCTCGACGTCTCCAAACCAACGTTTTGTGGACCTGCAAGGTTTTATTGTTGCCAGAAACTTTTGAAAAAAAACGGTTTCCCCCTCTTTCCAATACAGTTTAGAGGAGATGAAAGGA